AATTTAAGAAAGAAACACACACGATGGAATCGAACAACGGAAATCAAAAGTTCTACGGGAAATTAGGTTTTCGATGTCAATAAACATAGGGTTTCAGTTTGATCATTCAATTACCTGGAATGTGAAATTGAATCGGATTTGATCATTCAGTTACCTGGAATGTGAAATTGAATCGGGTTCCGGTGCTGATTTGTGACCTCGAAATCAAGATTTGGGTCTCACCTCAATCGTCGCCTGGCCCTGATTGCTGAATGGGACTTTTTTCATTTTTAAATGGCAAGTAAAGTGATGAACTTGGATGCGAGGTGCGGAGGTGGTACGAATGATTTAACAATAAAACCAACCGTTTGTTTGGTTGATTTTCAATTAAAGTTTATGATTGTTTTTTTTTTTTTTTTTTGGTAAATACAAGTATTTGTTTGTTATATTTGTTTAATTTTATAGATCTAAATTTTTTTTGTTCAAAAAATGTTTAGGGACTTAATCGTTTAAAAAATGAATGTTTATTGGGTTTTTTCGGATTTTTTCCATTATTTTACCACATTAACCAGTTGTATAGATTATAAGAATGTATCTAACAGGTTTTAGAAAGTCCAAGAAGTTATTTAACATGTTTTAGAATGTTCAAGAACTTATTTGTTCCAAAAAATTATCCAATGACTTAATCATTCCAAACACTAAAGTTCATTGACTTTTTTTAGACTTTTCCCTTTATAAAAACAATGTATTGACTTATTCCGGTGTGACACCGATAATGAGTACTTTTGAGTGTTTGGATAAATAACTTATACCGGTGTCAAACCGGTAATAAACAGTTTTTGAATAAATTAAACTCTTCTGACTTATAATAAGTTGATAAGTGTTTTTTGTAGAAAATCATAAGTTGTTTTAAATAAACAATCCCAAAGATTGCTTATAAAAACAACTTATTGACTTATTTCAGCGTGGCACCGGTAATAAACATTTTTGAGTGTTTGGATAAACAACTTATACCGGTGTCAAATCGGTAATAAGAAGTTTTTGAAGAAGTTAAATCTTTCTGACTTATAAGTTGATAAGTGCTTTTATAGAAAATCATAAGTTATTTTAAAAAAGCAATCTCAAACACCCCCTTATGTGGATAAAGTTGTCAGTATGGATTAATCTGTTTAAATAGATTGATAACGTTTTTGTTTGAGTAAGTTTTTTTTATAGATGGAAAGAACAAATTTTTCAATTCAGATGGATAAATTTGGAAAAAAAAACTTGGTTTTATACATAAAGTTTCTTCTTAAAAACTTATTGAATAAGCCACTTTTTATATCATTAAGTCACTACCAAATAATGATGGATAGTTGATCAAATAAGTTGTGAGTCCCATTAAATTTATTAAGCTGCTAATAAACATACCCTAATTTATGGGTTTTTTTTTATTTAAAGTTACAATTAGCTTTTTTTGTTAAAAAATGTAGGGAACCAATTTTCAAAAGTTCGATTTTTATTTATTTTTAAAAATTCAGAGACTTAATTTGTTAATCATTAAAAATGAGAAAGTTCAATAATTCAAAAAAAGTTTAGGGACATAATCATTCAAAATAAAAGGTTCGATGGTCTTTTCTGAACTTTTCCCTAATAAAAACTTGCGAAAATTGAAAATCAGTCTTCTACATGATCGTTCACAATATAATTGGTCCTTTATCAGCCCAGATAGTTGGGCCAAAACTGTTCCCCAACAAGCCCGACCATTAGTACTCCTATGAATTCAAGGGTTTAGATACGCATCGATCATGTTCTAGTCAAGTACAAAGGAGTAGAAAAACGTTGCTAGAAGCGTACATCATAAAGATCAGTCAGTGAACCCGACAACGAATATCTCAAAGTTGACAGAAAATGCGATAGAGAAAATTGATTTGTAAGAAAGTAAATCCATATGCAATAGAGGACAAAGGACGCTGATAAATCATAACCATGGAGATGTCGTGGTATAACGTATAAGTGAAGATGCATAATTTCTAAGTGTCTATTATGTACTCTCACTTTGTAAAATAAATTTTTTTATTAACCTGGATATTCAACCCGTTATGCAAGCCGACTAATCCCAGGGCGACCACCTGCTTTGCAGATAGTCCGAAGTCATCGCATTTGAACCTCTGTGGCCACAAAGAATATTTATTTCTCCTTCGATTTGAACCTCGGACCTCCAGGTACTTTTGACCTTTGGAGTCAAGCTCAAATCAATCAGGCACCACTCTTGTGGTTCACTTTGTAAAAGAATTATAAAGATAGCAAACCAAACTCTAAGAAGTATCAAAAAATCGAAAACGACGATGACTCAACTGATTAAAGAAATCTTAAAAGAGCATTTTTATAAAGATTTATTGAACAAGTAGTCATTTTTGCATCTCAATAGTCATGTTCCTCAGTATCCGTAGCCATTTTTCGCTTGATCCGCTCTATGATATATATTTTTATCTATTGATCGTCTAACAATAAAACAATATTTTTTCCTGAAACTCAAACTAGGGGTGGCAAAAAATGACCTAACCGCTAACCTAATCCCAACCCAACCCATAATTAACAGGTTGAGTTGAGATTTTCAACCAATTTAAATAAATGGGTCAACTCTCCTAACCCATTTAAATAAATAGGTTTGGTTGCGTTGAATTTTTCGACCTGTTTTTAACTTGTTTCCAACTCATTTAAAATATTATGTAAGTTTATTATATCCTTAATATTATATCTAGTATTCTAATTTTTTATTTTGTTTTATTCTTAATTAAAAATCCTACTACTATGAGATAAAAATCCAAATTTCAATCGCTTCCATTACTTTGAACAATTTGTTTGTATTTGTGGTTGTGTTGTGTTTTAATAAAAAAAATAGTCTAGTTCTCTTTTTTTTTTTAATTTTAAAGTTGGGTAGTATAGGTTATGTTGTATTTGTGTTTTTTTATTTCATATCGTTAAGATACACAAAGGCTGGAGTGAAAAGTACATACATGCACTGATCAACAAATCAGATAAATATACGCGTTAAAGTTGGGTAGCATCATTTAATATAATGATAACTATAAGAGGTCATCATTGTCAAATGTTGCTACTCACCCATTTTCAAAGGAATTTTGAGTGTTAGTTTCTTAGGTAAAATCAGTGTCAAGAAACTACATGACTATCTCAGTTCTTCAGATCTAAAAGAGTACATTCTTCTATTACTCTTTCAGTCTATAGCAGATTTTTCATCAGTCAGATTGTTTAGAACAAGATCTTACCTCTTTAACTTCCGCAACAAATATGTAATTATTTGTTATTAGTAAATATACATAATTAAAAAGTGAAAATCTGATGTGCTTCTATCCAACCCCCCTTCTACAAACACTTTTTGTGTTAGTAATTAACATTACAGGACCAACAAGGTATATAACTTTAAATGATATTTTAATTAAATCCATAACCTTATAACCTATTAAAATAAATCGATTTATACTCATCAGAAAGGTCTTGAATTTAACTAACATCTCATTTAAGATTATATACCTAAATATAACAGTGATTAGTAATGTTAACTCACTTGTGTCAGTCAGGAGTAAAAGATATATGATGACTCCGGATGGACCTACAGTGGTTACGAACTTATGATCTAACCTTAATTAGATATAAATAAGATAATTTGATAACGTGAGAACCCCTTCTAATCGGTTCCTTGGTGGACCAAAACCTTTTACTAGGCTTGGATAGAGAATGATGTCGGTGTGCTTTAGGTATAATTGTTTGGTCCACATGGTTCACGATTATATATGATTTGATACAACTTTAAAAGATAATGTCCAATCTGTTCCAAAGTTAAAACTGTAATTTTTTATTTTATCTTGTCGCAAAATAAATATAACAGTTTTATTAACCACAAGGAGGGTGCTTGATTGGTTTGAGCTTGACTCTAAAGGTCAAAAGTACCTGGAGGTCTCAGGTTTAAATCCAATGAGAAATAAAAATCCCCTTGTGGCCACGAAGGTTCAAATGCGGTGACTCCGGGCTATCTGCAAAGCAGGTGGTCGCCCTGGGATTAATCGGTTCGCATAGCGGATTGGATATTCAGGTCAATAAAAAAAAATAACAGTTTTATTAAGATTTTGATTCACATTTACCCCTTACAAAAACTCTAACAATCTTACGTTTTTAGTTATTTATTTACATATCAACAAACATCCCGACCTTTTAGGGTTGAAGATTTCTCCGTGAAACCATTAATCACCGTCCATCCCAAATACAAATGTGAATCAGATCAGAATCAAACCGAAACCAAAAAACAAAAACTAATGAAATCAAAAACCCAAATCAATTCAAACATGTTTTGTTTCAGTTTAAAAGCAGTTCAATCCTAAAACAAACTTTCAAGTGTGAACCAGATACATACATGATTAGTTTTAACTTGAAAAATACGAACCTAAGACATCGTTGTTTATCAAGTTTGAAAAATAAAGCAAAATGATCTGATTATGAATCTAAACCGGACTTAGACCAAATCAAAAACCATCTTTAAAGAAAATCTTGAAATTGATTTTGAAAAATATATAGAGGGTGTTTGGGATTGCTTATTTGAAACAACTTGTGTTTTTCTACAAAAGCACTTATCAACTTATTATAAGTCAGAATGATTTAACTTCTTCAAAAACTTCTTATTACCGGTTTGACACCGGCATAAGTTATTTATCCAAACACTCAAAAATGCTTATTATCGGTGTCACACCGGAATAAATCAATAAGTTGTTTTTTATAAACAATCCCAAACACCCCTAGTATTGACAACCGAATCAAAATAACTAGTTCTGATTTAATTTACCCTGATCCCGATTCAGTTCTTTTATTTATCTGTTCGAATCGAATTTCACACACCCTTAATCCAAATCTAAATGGGGTTGATCTTTCCTAAACAACCTAAATAACCCATATCTTGAAATATTTAAAATCTTGATATATTTATCGTATTCATTAAAAAAGAGAGGGTTATGATGGTTTTTGAATGATTTCAAAGTTCAAGGCATGAGGGAAGCATCAACCCATCAACCCTAGCAAAAAACACACAAAGCAACCCCGTGGTTATGATTTGATCGTGACTTTAAAGCTTGTGTTCTCATGACTGCTGCTGATTACCTTCGTTTCAGTCGACCTTCTTCATCTGTATAAATTCAAAATCTCAAAAACCCTCTTGACTCCTGAAACCCTCTTCGATTTTCCTCTCTAATGGCCGCTCCCAACGGGTATGCTTCCAACCCACATCTCCAATATTCATGTTCGTTGTTGGATTCGTATTTCTTTTATTGGATTTACTATAAAAACCCTAAGTGGTCTTGAGTCGATTCGGTCTATATTTGTTCATGTTGTTTTGTAGCTACATTTGGCGAATCAGTTTTTGACCTTTTCCTTTTTACTGTTTTTTTTTACAGTAAAGTTGCTTGCTTTAATTGTAAAAAAGTTTCGAATTTGTATACTTTGATTGGTCTTTTATTATTGTTGGTACTGATAATGTGTAGGGTTTCGAATTGGTTTTCAAGATTATGTTCATTTTCTTGATTATTTGAATCATGGTAGATGTGTTGTTGTTGTTTTATTTACCATATGGATCCTCTGTAAAAAAAAGCTCATGCTTTCTGGGTGTACAAAAATACCTTGTGGTCTTCTTTTAGAAAGTGTTGAAACAAATTTGGACCATTTGTTTCTCATATTGAATGCTTGGGTTACTTTTGGCTTGAAGAACCCTTTTTTGGTAAGTTTGAATAAGCAAGTTCTTTCACTTTGTTGTTCATTATTAAGATCTTTGAGGGCAAAATCAGCTAGAAAATTGGGGGTTTCTGTTATACCTTTGTGGTTTTATCTGATCTTTTACGGGTGTTTGGTGATCGGTTGGAGGAATTACTTCTTTTTGCACCCTTTTATTTTGAAACTATGTGGGTTAAGAACTGGTACACTTGGCTCACAATCGAACGGTTTTTTGAAAGCTTTTTGATATTGTTGGGCCAAAGGCTACTTGGTATGCAGGCTCTTAAACATAGTAACCAAACGAACCAGTTAATCCCACACGGGGTAGGGTCTGGGTAGGTAGGATGTACATAGACCTTACTTCTACCCTGAGGTGTAGAGTGGCTGGTTTCGTGATTTGCCCAAACATAAGTACGGATCTCTAGTAAGATTGAAAGACCTTAACCATAAGGGTTGTGGTTGAGGTCATGGGGGATGTGGTGGAATATCCCATCTGCCCAGGGTTCGACTCCAGTTGTACACAACAATTATGGCCACCGAGTCTATCATAGCTGATTTTTTGCAGTCACAATTTACCGGGATTAGTCCAGGCATAGCCAGGGACGCCCTTCCAGAAAAAAGATTGAAAGACCTCTTTAGTTTCATCACTTCAACTCCAGGGATAAAGGGAAAGAAATAGAGAGTTAACTATGAATAACTAGTGTTGCTTTACCACTTAAGTAGTGTTTCATAAAGTTTGCAAACTCTAAGGTGCCGTTAAACATACTCATATTGTTGGGCCCATGTATATGGTGTGAGGCTAGATGAAGATGTGATTTATGTTAAATTTACTTGATTTAAGCCTGAAATCTCCATCAAATCATTGAGATATTTAATCATCAACGAATGAAATAAGAAACCTTCAATCGTGAAGTTTCTTGCTTCTTCTATGGCTGCTTCAACGGCTATACCACCTTCACCTCTCCACGCCATTCTTATCTGCCATAACCTCTTATTTCTTTCATCGTGATTGTTGATTGGATTTATCGAAAAGCCCCAGTTTCCTTTTTCGTATTGGTATGTCATAAATTTATTCTAAAGTTGTTGAATCTTGTTCTGCATTTTGGAAATCAGTATTTTGTTCTTTCTTTTAGCATTTTCTTGTGTAACTGAAATTAAAGTTGCTTGCTTGAATTATTGAAAATCTTGAGAATAATTTCTTGATTTGGTGGAATTTTTTTCCCGTTTCACATCTATTCAAATATATCTACTTCACTTTAGACAACAATACACATTAGAGGAATCATGTTGTCGACGTGATTTACTTGCTCTTTTATGTGATTTAAAACCAAGGTTGAAATTTATTTTTGTTTACTTATTTTTTTGATTAACCTGGATATCCAACCCGCTATGCGAGCCGACTAATTCCAGGGCGACCACCTTCTTTGCGGGTACCCCGGAGTCACCGCATTTGAACTTCTGTGGCTACAAGGGGATTTTTATCCTCCTTGGATTGGAACTCGGGACCTCCAGGCACTTTTGACCTTTGGAGACCAAGCTCAAACCAATCAGGCACCACCCTTGTGGTTTTTTTTTTTTGTTTACTTTTTAGTCTGTAGATAAAGGTCCTCTTTTTTAGTGTACAAAAATGTATCGAAAATCTATTGTAGAAAGTATTGGAATACTCACTGTTTTTCGGGATAATTTTTATATAGCTATGTGGGTTCTTTTGTTGAATCTTGTGGTTGTTTTATTTTAGGCTTTAGCATAAGAACTCCTGCTTGTGGCAAGTTTAAGTAAAAGAGAAGAAAATTACTTCATCATGTATACAAATGTGGCATTTTTTTTGCATGGAGTAATTATATTTAATTCATTGTTTGTGGCTTGGTTTAGGGGCTATTTACTTTTTTTTTCCATTAAGCCCTGTATGTGTTAAGTTGTCTGTCTGGATAAATTTGTCTGTCTGAAGGATGTGAGACTGATGGGTTTGAGGGAGGCAAAAAGAGAGGGTGGGTTATTTCTGGTATTAATTTGTTTGAGGTGGCTTAACGGGAACAAGTGAGAGGTCGTGGTTCATTCCATATAGGCGTTTTGGCTTAATGGCTGAATAATTAAGCCTTAAAGAACCACTCTTGTATGGCTGAGCTAATAAAGATAGCTAAGCCACATCTCTTTCTCTATTTTCAAGTGGGATATACTGGTTGGTTTGGTTTTACCGGTGAATTTCTTAAGAAATATGTATATGTACATGCTTATTTAGTGTAGTTGATAGCATTACTTGTGGTCCCACATCGATTAGCAACCAAAGTTCGGCTCTTTCTCAACCCGATATGAAGCCCTCTTGTTTCGATAGCTTTTTTACACCTTGAATTGAGACTCAAGAAATTTCGTTACTGCCTAAGCTAACGTTGGCGCCATTTCTCTTAATTCTCCCTCTTGATCTCAAAAGAGGTAATCTTTTTCATTATCCCTCGTTCGAAATGCTTCTTGTGTATTATCGTATATTCGGGTTTTTTTGGAACCTTTTTTTAGGTGATCGAATTTTATTGCAATTATATAGTTGTTATAATCTCGATGCCTCTTTCAATATCAAGAATCTAGTATTGAATCACAATAGGAAAGCAAACATACGTTATGCATTTCCGATTCTAATTTTGAGGGCTTTAACTGGTATTTTAGGTTTTCAAACGCTAAAGAGATGAAGAGGAGAGGAGGATGAACAGACAAGAAGTTCATGACTTCCCTAACCTTCTTCACCTTCAAAAATTCATGACCTTTTTAGTCTTTTTCGCAATAATATTGTGATTTTTGCTATGAATGTTCATCGAGTATGTGCTTTCTTTCAAGATCTCAGACTTTCTTGGAGATAACGATTGTGATCGACTGTTTTGCATAATACGATCTTTAGTTATTAATCTTGAATGGTCTGATTTGGTTTGAATACACATATATCTTCACAACTTCATGTTGCCTATTCACATGTGAATTTCAGATCTAACTCGCATTGGGCTGATCAAGTTCCGATTGCTGTAGCTCCTCTCAACTGCGTCCCATACACAGGCCCACCTCTAGACCATTTTGATTCCGATATGTCTCAGAACGAAGTCAACCTGCCGTTAAAGAATCAGCCCGCGATGGTTTTTCTGCCTCAACAAACCACCGAGAAAGAATTGAACGACATTTTATCCATCACCAAGCACGGAGTTGCGGTATCTGGGAGTGCTGCAAGCGGGAAAATAGGACCAGTTATTGGTTCAATTGACATTTCAGAATCCGATGAGGCTTTTCTGTTTCGTGTTGCTCTCCCGGGCGTCAAGAAGGACGAAAGTAAGTACCACTGCACCCCCGATACTTCTTAACTTTCTTGAAGTCGATCTCATGTTTTTCTAATAAACTGATGTTTTATAAGAGAATAGAAACGAAGTTCCATCACAGTGTTTCAAAACGTAAATCGCTCGGCTTTCAGATGACTGATTCCTTCGAATTTGCAACCATAAACTGCAGAGTTCAAATGCGATATCCAACCAGACGGAACCATCACAATCAAAGGCGTAACAAACACCGGCCAGAAAAAGGTTCACGCCCACAACATGGAGTTTGAGATGCATACACAGAATCTTTGCCCGCCAGGTGACTTCTCGGTCTCGTTCCAGTTACCCGTGCACGTCGACCCACCGACCCTAAAACACATGTTAGCTAACGGTGTTCTCGAGGGTGTCGTTAAGAAAAAACTGGTCCAGGGTTCGTGATCTCATCTCGTCATGCAGTCGTAGGCTTTAGAAACATGTTGGTTGTCTTCTTAATGTACATTGCAGTCGAAGATCGGTTTCGTGTTTTTCGTTTTGTTGAAGGATTTTGAAGGGTTTGAGCAGGTGGAGTTGGTGTTTTTGAAGGTCCTTGAGGGTTTTCTTGTTGTAATGTCTGTCCTGCTGTTGTTTATGCCAATTTTTTGGCTCCTTGAAACAAAAGAAAGTACAAGAAAAGAGGGTTTTTTAGGGTTGAAAACTTGTGTGATTTTGCTTCAATATTGATGTTTACGGTAACTTCGGCTTAGGGGGCTGTTTACCAAACGCTAACGGCCAACGTCACTTATCGTTGTTCGATAGGTGGCTGGTTTAAGATCACGGTATCCATAAGATGACGATTTCTCTTGATCTTATCGTACTTCCATGAAAGAGAAACGTACAAACAGAACGTTCATTTAAACATGTACTCAAAAAATAAGTTAGCTTATGTTTGCCTAAATATTCAATTCACAGTGTACCAGTTATAGAACATTATATAATCTGTCGTAGCCTTGAGGTGGGCTCGAGGAAAGCGGAAATAACTAAGATTGATTGAACCACTCTAAAGATCAGTGCGGCGTATCTAATGGGCTGTTTGACAGTTGTTGAATGATGCAGTGCAGAATGATTAAGTGGTCAAAATTGATTAAGAGACTCTCATGATATAATGCAAAAGAAAATATAATTGTTTGGTAATTATTTACAATGAAATTAAAGCATTTAATGGTTAAGAGACACCCAAGATACAAAATCATTCAGATAGTTTTAGAATCATTAAGAAACAAACTTTATTTTCATCAAACAAAATTCAACTCTTAATGATTCAAACTCTATCTCTTAATAAAACTATTAAAAATTAAACAAACAACTCCCGGTTGAATAGCTCTGTTTGATCGGAGTTAAACGTGTCGGAGAGTCTATCCAGACCCGCCCATTATCTTGGGATTAGAATGGTGTCCAAATAATGAAGATGGATTCTTTTGACCCGACCCGAATGAGGTCTTGAATTGCTTTCAACTGAATTCGACTAGACAACGAAGATGAATCCTGAAATCATGGATGGAAGAAACTGAGAACTGACGACTGGAAGAAAGAAAAGCTCGACAAATTTTGAGGTAAGTCTTTTCATCATCTCTTTTTCTTTATTTCTTGATAAAAACCCTAGTTACAGTATGATTAAGGGCTTAAGATATACTGCGTTTTATATGAAGCTTCCGATCTTTTATGATCCTTGGCAACTTTTGATTTCTTGCAAATTGCTCGTAATTTCATGTTAACTCAATTGGTTGTCTGTTTCTGCTAACCGAACCTCGATTATGCTTTCATTGTGACTTCTAGCCGATTAGAAAAGACTAGGTTTGTTTTATTGATTGATTTTGATTTCATTTTTAGGGTTTATTTCCATCTTTCTGTGTAAGATATGTTCATCTGGCTTCTAATTACGATCTTCCAGTCCTAATATGTAGATACATTTTGGGGGTTTTTGAAGTCAATTTCTATGATTTAGGAATTCCAGAATTGATGCAAACCAAATAGATACAACAATTATATCTTAATGGTTCAGAAGATATTGTAATATTACATGATACCCTTTTTTTTAAGCAAAATTCAGCCCCAAATTGTTGGTTTTTGGTAGATACTTTTACATAGCATTGGTTTTACATCATGTTGATAACTTGTTTTAGAAGCAGCGGTCTACACCGAAACACACTCTATTCCTTTGCGGTAGAGGTAAGGTCAACTTACGTTGTACCCTCCCCAGACCCTACTCCGCATAAGATATACTGGGTTCGTTTGGTTTGGTATAAGGAGGGCCTATGGGAGTTCACTCATGATTCATCATCAATCTTTTGAAACTTTAGAAACTTTTGGTTTATTTGGTGGTGGTGACTGTGGGTTCTCCGTTCTGATTAAGGAGTTGTTTCACTATGAAATTTGGCATCTTCATGTATTAAGCCGCGTGTTGAGAACTAGTTAAGGATTTCACGGCTTTATGAAAACCAAAGCAAGTTTAAGGAGTAACCGAGTAAGCAGGCATCAAGACTGGCTACTATTTGCTTATGAGCCTTTTTTCCACACATGGGTTGTATTTTCTTAATGTCCTTGACATACTACTATAAGATATGATTTTCTATAACCATGGGTGTCTGAACCAGCTTGAGTGCACGCCAATTTATCTCATGGGGCCTTAAAGTTAACAACAGGAAAACCTCCAATGAGGAGCAAACCCAATGCTGACCAGTTCAGCTACCCCCAACGGCTGCTTTTTTTACTGTTTCTAGCTGTTGTTTTTGGTAATTTTCATTGAAATGCAATGTTAATCTTGATCTATACACAGGATATAATTGAAAATTTATCAGAATTTTGATAAATGTGTGTTTGAAGTAGATTCTAATCCGATATTGTTGGACGACAGGGGAGAGTCAGTTATGGTTGTCTCCTTTGATTTGCAGACTTTCATTCTGCGTGCTCGAGTGCTGAAGCTGTATAGACAAGCTCTACGAATTGCTAAAAGAGCGCCTGTTCCCAGCAGAGGTGAACTTTCTTATGCAACATTTCTATTAATAGGTTTTAAAATGTTCATATTGAAGTTCCCCAAAAGACCGAAAAACAAAAGACCCGCCACTTATCCAAAAAAAAGTGAACGATATTATGTTTGACCAAACCAAATGAACTCAGTAAATCCCATATGAAATAGGGTCTGCAGAGGGTATGTACACAGACCTTATCTCTACCCGAAAGAAGTAGAAATATTGTATCCACGAAAACCCTTTTGAGAAATGAACATTGTGAAGAATTTTCATTTCCGAAACATCGTCAGTGGAATGAAAATCAATTCCAAATCACACCAAATCCCACAAACCAAACGGACCCTAAAGAGTTGGACTGAAAATATTTGCAGGCGAGTTGATGCAAACAATTAGACAAGAGATGGAGAACAACCGAGCTTGCAACGACAAACAAAGGATCCGTTACTTGATTAGCGAAGGAATGGAGAGATTGAAGGGTTTAGATGAGATGCTCGATATGCAAGGCCATTAATCATCATTGCGTTACGGTTCGAAGGAATGAAAAATTTTGGTCACATTTTCCATCATTTGTTGTTATCTAAGATTGAATTTGTAACCTCTTTGGAATCTTGAACATGAGTTTTACTTGGAAACAAGCAGGAAAGAAAGATGGAAGCATGGAACACAATGATTTTTTTTCTAGTCAAACTACATTTGTGCATTTTTTTGGTAGAGAGGGGGGAGGCCCCTCTTATCAAGATAAAACACTAAACGTTAAAAGCAAACAGATTACGCGTTCAGGTGGGGGCGAACCACATCCACCAGAAATATCCAAGGTTCCCCAAGGGGAAAGAAAGGAGGAGAAGAGAAAGAAACCAACCACAAGGGAAGGTCCAGCCAAGACCGGAAAGCAACGGGGCCATTTTTTAGCCTCTTTTTTATTTTAGCAAAATAGATGAAAGTAAACCAACAATTTTTATTGATAGAATACATAATCATAAATACTTGTTTTTTGAAGTACATATTATTTATATACGGCAAATACAACAAATAAATTCACACACCCTTCTCACCTTTAATGAGGTTTGAACCCCTGACCTCCAACGAGGCCAAGGACTACGATAACGCTATGTCAAAGACCCTTTCGAATAAATAGTTATCCTTTGCAAGATAAACAACCTCTAGATGCAAGATTTGTGTATATTCTACCTCTAGATATACATGTGTTTGTCCAATTGATTTGATTTGGTTTTAACTCCCACCGTCATGATTTTAGTCAAAATGTAAATAAATATCAAATAGTAGTTGAAAAAGGGTTTGTGCTACCCATTTAGAGTGTATCATCTTATCGGTTTTACGATCATCATTAAAAAATAAATCACAGTGTCTTAGGGTAAGGTATACAGGAACCGATTTCCATCTACCGACTAATCAAGCTTTTTAACTTTTGAGTTTAATTCGCTAATTTTGATGAGATGATAATTTGATCGAAACACTCTATAATGTTACATGAGGAATATAAGCTAGATAATGAAACGGAAAGATCTAGGATGTAGATCATGACATAAGCGATATTGAGGAACCATGGAAAACAAATAAACATTTATTAAAATTGATGTTATATTAAAAATAATAATGTAATATCTTTTGGTGTAGTTTGTTTTGTTTCAATTTTTATTATAATTTATTGGTTATCGGGTTTATCGGGCCCGGCCAACCCTCAAAATTTTGGGCTTATTGGGTTCTTTTTGGGCCCAGCCAACCCCCCGAATTCCGGCTTGAACAGAATTTGAAAGCTGGCCCAGACTTTGTGCTCTGTGCTTTTTTGAGTCGGTTGAACGTGGACTAGGCTTCGGACTTGTTTGTGCATATCTTGTTAACATCCTTAGTCTATACGATCACTCAAACCACTACAGGTTCGAGACTAACCACCCAACAAAGGAGGTGCATCGAAACCAGAGTTGGAACCACATTTTTTTATTAACCTGGATATCCAACCCGTTATGCGAGCCGACTAATCCTAAGACGACCACCTGTTTTGCAGATAGCTCGGAGTCAAGCATTTGAAGCTCCGTGGCCATAAGGAGATTTTTATTTTTCCTTGGATTTGAACATAAGACCTAATACTTTTGACCTTTGGAACCAAGCTCAAACCAATCATGCACCACCTTGTGGTTGAAACCAATTTTTTTTTAACAATGCACAAAATAATGAAGCATAATATAAAAGAAAACAAAATTTGATTATAAGAATAAAATGACATACAAAATAATGACACTACCGGTAGATTGCAACCACTTTCAGGAAACTTAGAGGTGCATCTTTTAAGATCCCTAGTTTTTTCCAATTGCGCCCGACGATAGAGAGGGTGCGCAACCCCCCCCCCCAGCCCAAGCCAGAGCCAAAATCCGCTCGTGGCTCTTAGCGGCTCGTGGCTCTTAGCGGGCATATAAGCGGTTACCTTTCCGGAGGGTGGCACCATACCATACTACAAAGGTCTAGCAACAAAACCCCTACTCACCATCTTCTCCACCAATTCTTCATGTTTCTTGATCTGCCCAGCCTTCCTAAGCTGCCCCAATACCATTTCATAATCACCATGGCTAGGTTTCAAACACTTCTCTTCAATCATCTCCCTAAAAAACTTATAAGCATTGTTCCAATGCCCCATTCCACAATACATCCCAATCAAGATCCTATAACTGTTCACATTAAGCTCAACCTCATTCTCATCCATCTCCTTTCTCAACTTCAACACCATATCCGCCGATTTCATATCAGCAAACATCCTCATCAACACATTATAAGTCACTGTATTCGGCTTACATTTCATCTCCTTCATCCTCCCAAACAATCTATGAGCACCATTTACATCTCGGGCTTTCAAGATTTCTTTAAAAATGGGGTTGAAGCTACTTGCATTTGGCTCACACCCTTTCTTGCTCATCGAGTTCAGAATCTTGATTGCTTCATCACGATTCCCATCTTTACAATGGCTTTCGATAAGGAAGTTGTAAGTGATCAAATCAGGGGGACAAGATAGTCGTTTCATTTGATTGTAAACTTGCAAAACCTTTTCGGTTCGGCCGGATTTGACATGAACCCGCATTAGATTGTTGTAAGTAATGGCATTGGGTTCGATTTTTTGGTCAAGCATTTCAGCAAACACATCGTGGGCACGAGTTATCTGACCATTTCTACACAAAGCATCGATAACAATGGTGTAAGTGTAGACATTTGGTTTGATTCCAGATGTTTTCATTTCGTGGAAAACCCTTTCAGCTTCTGAAATGTTACCTGCCCTGCACCATCCATGGACTAAACTGGTGTACAGAATAACATCTGGTTCGAATTTATGCTTCAAGCTATTGAAGAACGATTGAGCTTCTTCTGCTCTTCGTTTCTTGCAAAGAATTCCGATCACAATCGAGAAAGCAATTCGATCAGGCTTACAATTATATTCCTCCATTCGGTTAAACGCATGAACAGCTTCGGCAGCTAATCCAGCCCTAACATACCTACGTATCAAAATCGAAAAGGTATCAACGGAAATTTGTATATTTCTTGCTTTCATTAGTTCAATTACCTGCCAAGCTACGTCGAACTGGCGGGATTTTCCGGCGAGGTCGATCATTTCATTGTAGGGGTCTGGTGAATCGGTTCTTGTGCCATCGGTCATTGAGGTTGCCCAATTGAAGAAAGCTAGGGCTTGTGCAAAAGGAATACCATGACGCACGGCGGCGCATTTTTCGATTACGCAGCGGATAACGGCGGGGGAGAGGGGTTGGTGGTGGGAGATGTTGGAAAAGTCGAAGGAGAGAGACGGGATGGAGAAGTCCGGAGGGAAAGGGGTGACGATCGGATTAGGGTTAGGGTTTTGACGGTGGTGGTTTTTTATTAGAGAATGGAGTTTTTCCGATATTAGGGTTTCCGAGTGAGATAGTTTCTGGGTGGCGGTGGTGACGACTGCTGTTGTCTCAGTCTCTGTGTCGGAATGAGAGGCCGAGATGACGGCTGAGGAGGAAGAAGAAAAGGAATTGATGGTGGTGGCCAGGCGACAGACACGACGGAGACTTGGCTTGACGACGGCCATTGGCGGTTGGCTTTATTTTCCGAACGAGAGCTTCCTGTGTACAAGAGCTGACACAAAAGGTACCAATTTGAAACTTGAGTTAGGGTTTGGATTGAAATCCCGATTTGGAAGACTCGCCGGAGTTATACAGAGGCGGTGGAGCCGGAGTTGGAAAGAGGCACCGTGAGAGGCGGAGCGGCCGACGGAGGTCGAACTTCGTTTTGTTGGCGAGTTTGAGTTTGGAAGAGAGTGGGATCCCTTGTTTTTGTTTTATAACACTTTTCTTTTTAAGCCCCTTTACTTTTAAAAACTTTCAAATCACCCCTTGCATTTTCAAACTTTCCAGGACGCCCCTCAAGCTAAGGGGATTCATCTTAAATAGCATTCTTCGTTCATGTAAAAACGTTTATATTTGATCTCTTCCTTTAACGGATGTTAAAATTTTGGTTAAATGGTGAGGTTTTCGTCATTTTATCATTTTTTATTTTTTACCTGATAAAAAACCATATAATTCAGAATAAAAAAATCAATTTTGACAAGGAAAAAGACAAAAAAAGGAAAATGTGTATCATTTCATGGAATTTTTTACTAACGGGAGAAATTACATCCAGACGTTTTTGCAAACCACGAAGGTCATCTTTTTATATCAATCTGAAAGAACGAAAAGTGTTAACAAAGGGCTTTTGCCCATGAATCATGATGAAATAGTTGTGTATTCGTGCAATGCGGCGGGAGCCGTGAATTTTAACGATTTTGAAGTTTTATTGGTTTTATTAGAGAAGATTTAACAATGATATAAGTTACACTTGGTCTTTACATATTAATACAATTTGAATAAACAAGAGTTATGGTTCTAATTACAGTCTATTGATGAAAAAAATTGTATGACAGTTTAAAATCCAACATATTTAAACGACGCGGCAAATGTGTTCGATTTACACCAAGAGCAAAGAATCAAGAGATCGAGAGTTCTAGAGTAATTGAATGAGAGATGAATGAGATAACTTTTAATAACTCATGGTGAATATCAGTTTAATCTCACTTTGGGGGATGAGGAAAAAACATAGATGTATGAGAGGGTGAAAGCATGAGTGAAAGATATCAAAAGTATCTTGAGAACATGAAAAGAAAAAGTAATAATGTGTATTGGTAACTTGTACTATGTGTTATTTTAATCGTAAATTAAGAGATTTTAAGATTGAATGTATAAAATAGTAGTATTTAATGGATTATTAGTTTTTGTAAGACTTTATACATAAATATATGATATTTTTAAATAAATATGGTTTATAAGATAATATGGATAAATAAAATAAAAAATAGATGACCGAGATGGAAGGTTTAAAAGTCGTTTAAATGTAACGGTGCGTTTATAAACTGCTAAATTGTCGCCGTCCCTCAGCCCCTCAACGACCGTCGCCGTCCCTCAACCACCGTTCTCCCTCCACGCATCATCTCTCGTAATCAGGTAATTCTTGATTTTTCTTGTGCTTCCAAGGCTTGTGGTTCGACATTAACAAAGATTTGATCTTTCTCTGCTCCCCTTTTGATTTTATTATTGTTGTGATCTCGTTTTTTGCCTGAATCTCTTGCCATATGTTGCTGCCCTGTGTTGTTACTAGTAGGTTCTTCTATTACTACCTATTGCAAAGTTCTAGCGTTTGATTCTCTTTTCGATCAACCTAATCTGATTTTGCAAATTGGTCCTAACCCTAATTTTTATGAGTAATTTTTGAGGTTTCCCTGGCCAGATCTAATAGTATAATATAGAAGAATCAGTTTGGAAATGGTTTCTGTTAAGGCCAGTAGGTGTAAATTGTTTTTAACTTGGAGGAGATCTTCCTGACATGTTTAGCTCTTTCAGAAATGCAACCTTTTTCTTGGTTCTACATGCAATAGATAGCAGGTGGTATTGGTGGTGCCTGTATGTTTGTACTTATTCAAGTCTATAAAGTCATTAAGGATGGGTTTGGTATGTGGGGGACAAGGCAGAACAAAAATTTGCTGTTCCACATTTGGTGCTACATTTAGACAGGGACAGGACATGAAACGCGTTTGCTAGGTCTTGATCGCATTTTGTCAGTCAGATTTGATGGCAAATGCATTCATAGCTTTTAGTTTGGAATTCATCTCATACATTGCTTCTGTTGGAAATTCACTAAAAATTCACTAAATAGGAAAACAGATTAGAACGTGTAATAACACTGTCCTTAGGATATTACTAGCCCCCGTTCTAGATGGTGTATGGGTTGTTGGTTAATACACCCCCCAGTATTCCTAATCTAAAATAAGAACACAACCATTGTTAATCCTCATGAATATCTTTTGTGGAGGGAAGATAAAGAGGGAAAGAAGATAGATCATGCAGATGTGTTAGTTGGTATTTATAGATCAGACATGACAGGTTTTGACACTTATAGAAACTGTCTATAGGCATTATCCAATAACAAACTAAAAAGAAATAATCAAAAATACACAGGCACACAAGCCAAGTGTTATCTCTTGACCCTAAATATCTAGTATACATAGCCCAGTCCAACTAACAATCAAAGCTCACTCTCCATAAACCCAACTGTAACTTATTTGATTTAACAAATAGATCGGTATTTTTAAATTGACCAACTTTTTGTTTCCATTCCTGTGTGAAACAAAGTTCGCACACTGAAGACTGTATTTAACAGTCTCTTAATATCAAGCATAATTGCTGAAGAAGTTTGGTGTTAATGTATTTGGTATAATTGTATGTATTTTATCTTCTTTATGTAATTGAAAAATCAACACCCGAAAGAAGTAAATGCAGGGTGAATGTTTCTGATCAAAATTGAGATATTTTTAACAGTCTCTTAATATCAAGCATAATTGCTGAAGAAGTTTGGTGTTAATGTATTTGGTATAATTGTATGTATTTTATCTTCTTTATGTAATTTAAAAATCAACACCCGAAAGAAGTAAATGCAGGGTTAATGTTTCTGATCAAAATTGAGATAGTTATGTTGTAACCAAAAGCTTAAATGATTGCTGTTCCTGAATGCATACTGATGTAGCAGGGGAAATTGATACAAAAACACCTGAGAAAGGTTGTTAGATGGTAATTGATCAAACTAAGGGGTTGTTTGGTTTAGCTCTTAATGTTTCATTAAGAGGATGCCACTGATTCGGCCAGACCCAATCTTGTCTGGTAAAAAAATTAGAGGCTCAAAATAGCTCAATCCATGTATGAATTGTTCATTGACCGTGTTATGTTCGTATCATTTAGGGGCTACTTTTTTCCACAATTGCTCTTCTCTCATCCATTCGTTCCTCTCGTTTCCTCTGCTGCTCCCTTTCCTTTCATCTCTGATCTCATCATCGCTCCCTCATCTCATTCTGATTGCTGGAGTAATAGGTAAACCTTCGCCCCATTTTCTCTTATTTTTCAAGTCCTTTTGGTGTCTTTGCTTGAAATTCAATGCTGCTTCTCCATCTTTGCATCATCCTTGCACCATACAATGTCTTCTTACAGGTAGCTTTTTGTTTACTTTCTCACCTACCAAGTGTTAGTGTTATTGTTTGTGTGTGTTGTAATATCACTAGGAGTAGTTCCTGATCTGGAAAATTATATTTTGACTGTTGAGGTGAGAACTAGCACTTTCCTAAAGCAAAACTTATATATGTTCTGTTAAAAAAATCAGATTTCTTTGACAATTGCATATGCATTTGCTACTTCAATGACTTGACAATCGCATTCTGCAGTATACGTGATTGCAGCACCTGTTTTGTACATCCTCATTCCACCACATCTTTTATGGTAACATCCTAATTAGACCCTGGGGACTGAAACAACACCACACGCTTTGACAAACATAATTCTTTCGATCTCAAAGTTTCATACGATATCAAATATTTAAGCATATGTTTCTTTGATGTATATGATGAACACCTAGTCCTTTGTAATATTGAAAGCTTTTGTGATGTTAATGAGCTGTTTTCACCAAATTTTCTGAAACTTGGCTTATTTTACATCAGAGCTGGTAGACACCATTATTTTCTTATAATACCCACGTTGGTCATAGTTTATGCATTTGAGGCCTTAGTTTGTTATTTCAACTAACGAAGCCTGGAAGAACATGCAATTGTCCCATCTCTACACAACAATGTTTCAGGAATGTAAATATTGCAGATGAAATTTTAAAAGAAATTACTTCTTGCATTTTTTTAGTAAAGAACCACTTACCTGCATAGAACACAATGATCATGGCATACTATCATTTGTGTATAAAATTCACATAATGAAAATGAGTAACTCAAGCTTTTTGGTGTGTCTCTACATGGATTACGTGCAGCAAGCATAACTTGACTCCAAATAGGTTAGTCACAAGGTACAACAGCTGTTGCACGAATCCTTCACTTTGTAAGATGACTGCTATGTTCATAGATGATTTGTTGATGATGACAACTAGTACCAAGATAGCAAGACCAAGTGGCTATCAAGAAAATCTACATAAGTTGAACAATGTAATAGTCCTTTGGATGTGACAACCTTTCAAGGAGGTGCATTAAGGTGATGTATTCTTGTAAAATCTGCATATGTTGAACATTGTAGTAGTCTTTTGATATTTACATTTTTGAGTTTTTGATTGCATTTTCCTGTGTATGTGTTTGACTTGCCAATGAATGTTATTTTGCAATTCTTTTTCCTAATAGCAAAGTGATATATTACAAGGTTATTTACTAATTCATAACGGTTATCTGACAATCATGTTTCACTCAACACCAAACATACAAAGGGTTAAAATGGTGATTTTCTGTCATTTAGACTGTCCATTCAGAACACTTACTAAACAACCAGTTTTAATTCTACACTAAATCATACAAAGGCTCTTAATCATTCTATATCTACCAAACAACCCCTAACTTTAGATATGAAAACACCTGGAAATTGCATCGGCCACACACAGTGAATTGTCTTCTACCTGTTGTATTTCCCGATTACCTGTTAGGTTACCTATCTTATTGTTTGTTTGTACAAGCACAAACCAGGGGTCTTCACGGATCCTTGTGGTTGATGTAAGGTCCGCTTGCATCCTACCCCTCCCACACCCTATTTTCAAGTGGGATTTACTGGGTTGGTTTGGTTTTGTCTAGACCAACTCTTGGGATAGCTCCCAACTGGTAAGATATTGGGTTTTCTTCCTAATGGTCACTAAGTTCGAGTCCCCTCAGGACTACTGAAGGTTTTTCTGGCTGTTAACTCCATGCCGCGTGGGATTAGTTAAGGTGCACACAAGCTGGCCCGGACACCTGCGGTTATTTATTGATGAGACTGAGTTGGGTAAAACTCATTGGAGCAAACCATGTATCTGATTGTGTTGCGAATGGATTGAACATCATTGTCTTCAGCATGAGCTCCATGCATCTATCCACTTTCTGTTTTGCTCTCTCCTTTTCTGATAAATTGCTTACTATTTCACATAAGTTATGAATTATGGACCATCTGATATTCCAACTTATTGATGAGTTGCAAGATTTTGATTTCTTACATTATACCTTGTGACACAGATTTCTCGTTTCCTTCTACAAACGTGAGGTTATACAGTGGCAAAGAGGAGATGGCAGCTGCTATCGCGAAATGGCGGACCCTTGCAACTTATCTTCAGTCCGACCTATATTTTCACCGCCTCCAGTGTCGGTTTTTCTTGAATAATGGCCCAGATACTGTGGAGGAGTTATTGGATCGACATGTAGCCAAGAAAGAGAAAAAGAGCTACAATGATGATGAAGATGAGAAATTAACTCGGCAAAGACTTACGAGTACCCGCCGTGAGGTACTGGGTCTCTACCGAGATATAATTCGTGCAACCCGTTTCTTCATGTGGCCTGATTCACATGGCGTCTTGTGGCGTGATGTTCTCCGAGCAAATGCCCGAAAGGAATTTGAGGAGGCTCGATTCGAGAAAGATCCAGAAATTATCACTCGGCTGCTTATTGGTGGACATGATGCTGTGCAGGGTGCTCTTGATAAACTGGTGGAAAAGCAGAGGCAGCAGATTGCTAAGGAAAAAGAAGATCGTGCTCGTCTATGATACAGGTAACGATTTGAATTCTTGTTAGAATGTGTATAGCGTTTGTGTACGACGAACCATGGCCTGCGTATTTTACAAGGCGCGACCTTTTCAAATTTTGATTAATTGTTTTACTTTTTTAGCTTTTGTGTTTTTATTAATTTTTTGTTTTATAAGTCAAGTCTTCACGGAAACAGTCACTCAACGACTTTGTGTACCCCTCTCGGGTCCTACATTTGTGTGGGATTTACAGGGTTTGTTTGATTTGGTTTGGTTCTTAACGGGGACTTGAATCAAAAAATTCCCGCCTTTCTTTTGCTCCTCTGCTGCTTGTTCTTACTACCCTATCCGATCGTGAACATTTTGGTTAACTTTTTACTTCTTGTTGACAGGGGGATCGATTACATTCCTCTTTGGCAACAATGTCTTCATATGCACGGTTGTTGCTATCCTCGTTCGGTTCTTAGCAAATTCGGCCTTTTTGTGAGATTCGTTCAATAGCGTGGCAAAGAGGTTCATAGCAGCAGTTGGCTGCTGGGTGGTTGTTTTTCTTCCGAGTCTTATGTAAAAGAAGTGTATTTATTGTTATGTTTTTAGAAAAGGAAATTTTAGGGTATGAGAAAATGGTGTTGAAGTTGAACTGGTATTTAACTTGTAAAAAGAAAGAATGAGTTGATAGACTTCCCCTTTAAAAAAGGTTGGTTCATGATGCTTAAAAAGACACAACTACCCTTGGTGAGCTCATACTGTGTGGTCGAGTATCAAACAAGAACATGGTCAAAATAAGAAAACAAAAAACGGTGAGATTACATGTGATTTTACATGTGGTTATAGGACAAGGTTAACACAAGATTAAGATGATCAAAGTCGTATGAATCACATCTGATAAAATCAGGTATTACTGGTATTTTTATGTTCTATTATTTTAATTTTTTGATGTAAGATGTGCTTTAGTAACTTAGGGGTCGTTTGCCAAACGCATATCAGGGTAAGTGTTTACCAAGTCACGTTACACCGGATGAATTATGGTAAGAACCAAGAATCCTATCTGGTAAGAATGAGACAAGGGCCAAGAGTCTTACCCGGTAAGTGAGGGTGATGACTCTTACTACGGTAAGCGCTTACCGGGTAAATTGTTGTATATGATGTCGGTTTGGTGAACTAAAATTTTACCTGATAAGTAAATATATAGTTAAATTTTAGTGGTAAGCATTTATCGAACGAATGTTTGGTAAACGACCCGTGGAATGGTCTGAGTATTAGTTTCTACATTTTCTTTTTCGTGGGACCCTGTGAGCAAGTGTCTTGTGTGGGGCAGAAGGGTAAAAAGGTGAAAAGGGAAATTCCAATTCTTCCAAATCCAAGGCAACTCCAAGACAAGCCCATTGGAACTAAACATCTATTGACCAAATTAACCTCCTTTGAAAAATGGTTGATTGTATTTTCTTTTATATTCTAAAAAGTAAACTCCTTAATATATATTTATATTATTAGTGGTATACCCATACGATACAATGTGGGTGAATCATAATTCTGAAACATTAGTTTAACCTTAAATTATAAGTTTGTATGATTATTTTGCAAGTCAACTAATATATAAAGTTGAAGGTTAATAAGGTGTATTAGCAAGATCGAATGGAAAAATAATTGCACATGTATTGGATTTTTAAACCCATATACTCAGAACTCATTACAAATATTTGAATTTAAATTTAGTTGAAGTCTGAAAAACCTCCAAAAGCTGAGACCATGAAACATTTTTGAGAAGATGTTTTACGAGGCCTAAAGCTAAAAAGGGGAGGAAAAAGTGATGGAAGGAATAAAGCAAAACTAAGACTTTCTGTTTGGATGATATTGATGGTGTTGTATTAAAAACTTGTACATCATGCTTTATGAATTATAATTAAGAGATATTTGAAATTATTGCATAAAACGGTTGTACCTTGTGTCTATTTGGAGATCAACATTAATACAATGCATCAAGATACAACAAATCAATTCTCGTAATAAGCGTAATTCATAGGGAGGTGTGAATGTAATCAAGATCCAGATCTCTTATTATGCTTATCACTTTAACTTCTATTCTGACATGATCCTTCATATATATATATATATATATATATATATATATATATATATAGNATATATATATATATATATATATATATATATATATATAGGGAAGGGTTCAAACGAGAACCCTGTGATTTACGATATATATATATATATATATAGGGAAGGGTTCAAACGAGAACCCTGTGATTTACGAGAATGCGAGAACAACCCAATAACCACATATTGTGATAAAAAATAAAATTAAAAGGTTTTTAAAACTAAATTTGAAATTTAAAAAGATTCAGAAAATATTAAAATTAAAAGGGTAATAATGGAAATGATATCATAAAATCTTTTAATACGATTACACGATCATGATTATCATTATCTAATAAACGGTTAATCATGTGATATAAGTGTGATAATCATGTGAAAATCACACAATTATCACATTATCGCTTATATCAACACGATTTGGTGTGATATGGGTGTGATAATCATGTGATTATCACAAGGATTCCGCTCGGCTAAGGTTAACTTAGAAAATCGACTACCGATTT